TTAAAAACTCACTTTGTCAGTTACAAGATAGCAGATGTTAGACGTACATAAAAGTAAGTCTATGAGATTTAGTAAGAACTAAAGAAAGGCCTTGGGTTTCTGATTAGTTCAGAGCTCATTCAAGGAAGCACCAACCAGGTTTTAGAATTTGTACTTCCTAGTGCTGGCTTTTATGCAGCTTTGAGTTGCTAAGAGTCTGCACTCAATTCTACATGATTTTATAGGTCCACTTACCTATACTGACAGACTAAGTTTAGTCTGGTTATAAAGATCTCAAGAGAAAAAATTTGAGTGACATGTCCACTCCTGACTAGATTAGTTATGGCATGGAATTAGCCACCTGGTACAAACCCGACAAAACTGGCCATTCTCTTTGCAAGGGTTATGGAGAAAACTACAAAAAGGTCTCATTGTTCACCATACCCCTAATTACATCTGTGCCAATATGAACAGTATCACAGCAATCTATGGTCTTTTTCACATCGAGAGTTCAGATGTTTTGGAACATGGGTGAGGTGATGGCATCTAAGGGGGAAATCAAGAGAGTACAGATAGTTGTCATAATTCATATCATTTCTCTTGTCTCATAATTAAATTTTTCATTAAGCAGAGCACTTTTCACACTGCTTTAAATTCACCAGCACCTCACAGTACTCCACCCTCTATGCACCAGCTTCAAGAAAAGGAATGAGACTCACTACCTTCTCCCTATTGCTTTTACCTCACCCAGTCTGAGTGATGTCGTTTAACGGTGACTCTTCACTGGGTACAGTGGTGCACACCTGTAATCTCAGAGGCTCTGGGGGCTGAGCCAGGAGGATCTCAGGTTCAAAGTCAGCCTCAACAACTTAGTGAGGCACTAAGCAACTTAACAAGGGCCATGTCTCAAAATAAAAAAGAAATTTTAAAGGTGGTAGTGGCTGGGGATGTGGCTCAGTGGTTAAGCACCACCTAACCTTAGCACTGGTTCAATCCCCAGTACCAAAAAAAAAAAAAAAAAGAAGAAGAAGAAAGAAAGTGACTCCTCTTCCCCCAGGGTGGAAGGGATCTTGTGTAATCTTCTAAAATCATCAGGACAACTTCCCATCAGCTGATCTAAAAATGCTTAGAGTGACTAAAGAAGTTACATTAGTGGAAAAAATTACATTAGTTAATATATGTGAGATGCATCCTTTATAATCCCTTGTGTATAGTATGATTTTTCTATATCATGAAATGTGTCAAAAAATGTAAGTTGCATTTGATTATGATACAAGTATCAGAATCACAGAAGCTTGCTAAGTATGCCTATCACTTTTATCTTTCGGTATCTTCCCAGTGCACTTGGTATCAAATTCCAATTTCTTGTCCTATTTAAAGAGGCGATGTTTAATGTAGCCCTCTCTCTCTTTACATTTGAATGTAAACTCCTTAAAGCAGTCCTGTTCACTAACATGGCCCCGAGACTAAGTGTAGTGCTCAGACCAATGCAGGTGAACTGTAAATACTTTTTGAATGAATAAATGGCTATCATATGAATGATTCTTTTCCAGTCTTACCACTACACCTTGAATATATTGAGTCATCTTCAAAATAACATCCATTCATCCCTATGGAGATCAGAAACAACTTGCTTACTGTCATCCTTGCTCAAAAGGCTCACAACAAAGTGCCACAGGTTATAAATATGCAACAAGCTTGCTTGCTTCCTTCCTTCCTTTTTGCAGCACTAGGGACTGGGACATCAAGCATGTACAAGCACTCTATCACTGAGCTACATCCCCAGGCCTTTTATTTTTATTTGGAGACAGGGTCGGCTGGCCTTGAACTTTTGATTCTTGTCTCTGCCTCCTGAGTAGCTGGGATTACAGGCATGCACCACCACATCCARCCTATAATAGGTCTTCATTAGCAGCATTTCTCAAGTTTGTTTCTAAGTACACCAGTGCCACAAAATATTTCTTTAAAATGGAGTTCAAGAGTYCTGTCATATACCTAACTCCTATCAATATTTCTACTTGGATGTTTTTAAGCAACATCTCAAATTTAGCATGATCCAAACTGATGATTTTTACTCTCTATGCCAACCATCCTTCTAAGAGCTCAGATCAAATGCCTCTTCTTGGCTACTCATTCTTAAATCCTCACACAATCCACTAACTAATCTTGTTGGCTTAAGCCTCAAAATATATCCAGAATCTCAGCACTCCACACAATTTACTGTGACCATACTGATYCAAGTCACTATTTTCTTTTCCTTGGATTATTACAAATGCCTCCTCAACTGTCTCCCAACTTCTGTCCATGGCTCTCCCTTTGGTTTATTCTCAACACCATAGCCATATGGATCCTTTGCAAAGCTAAGTCAGATTATGCTATACAACTGCTGAAAATTTTCCAGTTTCCTCACTCAAAATTAAAACTAGTCTTCAATGGTTTGCATTGCCTTACATGAACCGAACCAGCCTCTGGTTCTTTCCACCCGTCTATCCCTATGCTACAGCATGCAAAGCAGGCTTCTGCCTTATAGCCTTAGCACTTATTCCTCCAGTTGGTCAGTAAATCCTTTCTTCATTACCCTTTATAAAATAGGAAAACAACTCCAACCCCATACTAGTTTTCTTTCACTTTTTTCATTTTCCTTTATAATATGTCCTACTRTCTGTCATAATATATCCTTATGTTCCTCAACTAGAACATAAGCTATATGAAGTTAGGATTTATTTGTTTTGATTTGTTTTATTAACTGCTATATCCCCAGCATGAAGCCCAATGGTATGTGTGTAAGGGTAGGGGAAACACTTTCTTTAACAGGTAAAGGATGAAATGACTCAGTATTTAAAACACTAAATTATAAATATTCGGATTAAACTGGTTATTTCTATAATCTAATTTAAAAGGTACAGTAATGTGAAAATGAACAAGAGTTTTGGTTTTTGTCTTATACAAATTATCTTTCTGAATTTGAAACTCATCTATGAAATACTTACCCAGGGCATTGCTGGGAGGATTGAACATGATCACTTACTCTTTGTCTAGCACTGCCTGGTTTGGAGTTCAATACTCAATAACCATCCATTTAAACCTTATAGATATGAAGTATTTCTTTTTTTTCCATATTTTTATTGGTGTATTATAGTTGTACATAATGGTAGAATTTGTTGTTACATATTCATTCACACACACACACACACACACACACACAATAATTTGGCCAATACCATTCCCCAGTATTTTCCCTTTCTCTCTACAGAGTTCCCTTTGGTTTTCACATGATACCCCCCCTCCACCATTTTCTTCCTTTTTTCTCTCTAGCTTCTACATATGAGAGAAAAAAAACTGACCCTTGACGTTTTAAGTGTAGCTTATTTTGCTTAATATAATGTTCTCAAGTTCCATCCATTTGCCTGCAAATGACATAATTTCATTTTTCTTTATGGATGAATAAAACTCCATTGTATAAAAATACCACATTTTCTTTATCCATTCATCCGCTGATAGACACCTAGGCTGGTTCACAGATATGAAGTATTTCTATTTCGACTTTTCTTTAAGAAAAAGTTGTTCTAAGACCTTTTATTATTATTATTACAACTGCAAACTTATAGGAATTAAACAATTCTCAATTTCTCTTTTTTTCAGTGCTTCATTCTGATTTCTATTTGACAACCACTCTCCTATTAATTAGCATGGACAATCCTGGCTAGACCAGAGTGACAAAAAGGTCTTTTGGGGAAGAAAAGATGATTTAATATTTTAAAAACATGTTTAGTAAAACTTTATATTTCAGGAGGAAAAAACCCTATAGGTTTGATGAGAAAAGAAAAGCTCAACATCTTTTGATGGACGGGGATGTAGTAAAAACATTGTGATTGCTAAAGGAATATCCCAGTGGGATACTGTGAGATTTTTATGGTAATCAAAAGGAGGTGAAAAGCTTTTTTAAAAGTCTGAGAAACTCCTACCTAGACTAATCCTCTACAAATGTTAACAGGTTAAAACAAAAAAGTCCATGAAAATTCAATAGGCAAGCCCAAGTCAAAGAACTATGTGGCTCAAAGTGAACTTAATAGAGTTGGGTATATAGCTCAGGGTTCAAGCCCCAGCACCACACAACACAAAAATAAGTSGACTTAATAACAGATCTAGTCCAATTCACTAAAAATTGGCAATAGGTAATTAAGAATTAAGTGTATACCAGTAAATAAAAATGTACTTCACTGAAACAAGAGTTTCATATTCATGCTTGATTCTTTAGGGATAAATATCTACCATCCTTGCCTCCATACCCATATCTAGAAAGGAAGGCATGTCTGTAAGCATTTAATAAGTGCATCTTTTGCATACCATTTTATCATTTAATCATTCTTGCCAGTTCAGTAGTACTGCACCCGCTTTGCTGATGATAAACGAAGACTAGGTAAAATTGGGTGACTTGTCCCTGATCACAAAATTAGCAGAACTGGAATTCAGCTCAGTAGTAAACCCAAAGCTCCCTTTACTACACTAAGCCCCTCCCTGAAAGGAAAGTGAACTCGTGGAACTTGTCTGTAATGAAACCTGCAAGGGCCAAGCTTTTTGATTGGTCTTGGCACTAATGTCACCTGTATTGTAATCCAAAGCTTACATTTATAGAAAATAAATCACTATAAAGTCGGTGCAAAATTGTTCAGCACTCTCGATGAAGACCTAGCCTCAACTAAACGTACGAAAAAATAATTTCACAATTTTAATTTAGTGTTTTTAGAAACCAGTCATTTTCAGTGTTTGGAAAATCAGGGGACTGCGCCCTCAAGTGGTCAAAAAAGGCCGTTCACCAGAGTTCCCTACTTGTTTAGATGGTGCAAGGCCAGTCCCGCAATCTTCCCGCAATCTCCCGAAGCAGTAGAAATCCTCGCCCCTGCAAAATCACTAGCGCGCCCCGCCCAGCAAACCACTGCGCATGCGCGTTCCCTGCCTCTCCGGAAGCTACCACCACAGGGTGGCGCTACTTCCCCCGAGCAGCCCGCTCTTTCGAATACCTTTGTCCAATTCCATAAGAGCAGAGTTAGCATCCAATTCCTGTTCGCCATATCCAGCATCTGCCAGAAAAGACTTAGTTGAGTTTGACGCCATGACCCGAATAGTTACTCGACTAGCCTAGTCAGAAAGATTGCAAACTCTGCCCCAGCACCGCCATCTTCTCCCGCCGCCTTCTCGCGGATTTTTCCTCCGCGCTCTGTCAAGCCGTGTTACGCATGCGCCCTGGTCACCCCGCGGTTCGCCGGTGCCTCTGCGGGCCCCCCGCGCAGGCGCTCAGGGAGCTCCTGAACTCTGGGTTCCCGCGGCTGGGAGAAAAGGAGGCGGGGATTCGAAGGGGGAAGTGACTCTGAGGCGCCCMGACGCTGCGGCGGGAGCCAATCAGAGAGCGTGACGTCAGTTTGGCGCGGAGTTTGGCGGCCGGGGCTTACAGTGGCGGGAGTTGGAGGCTATAACGGGCGGTGGTGTGAGGGGCGCAAGCTGCGGCTCCTAGTGAACTCGAGGGCATTTTCACGGCTTTTTCCTCAGCCGAGTCTTTCTTCAGGTCCAGATGCTCTTCAATTCGGTGCTCCGCCAGCCCCAGCTTGGCGTCCTAAGAAATGGTGAGTAACGGTCTTAACCGCTGCTCCTTGCTGGCGGGATTCACCGCCCCCAAAACACTCCACCTCGATCTGGGCCGACTCCAGTTTAGTTTCCCAGGCTCCAACTTCTCCAGGGCCAAAGTGAATTAGGTGAGGGAGAAATACCGAAGAAAGTTGTACTTTGTTTCCCTCTCGACACTTTTAATCGGGATCGGGCTTTTTTGGATCGTAACGTAGGCCGAAGGGAGGAAGGACGTTGAATTAGCTGGGCTCCGAGGCCCCTCGCTGCTTACGTCAATATCGCGCGTTAACTAGAAAACGCATGCATCTGTGTGTGTGTGTGTGTGTGTGTGTGTGTGTGTGTGTGTGTGTGTTTCGGGGGAGGGGGACGTTCTCTCGGCCACCCCGGGCGATCGTCGCCTCACTTTCGTTTGTTTGTGGTAGAACCTGAGCGATCCCAACTATTTGCAGTTACCCCACCAGCGTCCATGATCCGCTGTTAGGGAACTCGGTCAGGCAGGGAGGGCAGGACATCTGCTTCCAGCAGGGGCGAACTCTCATTCTCCCACCATTACTACCTGGTTCACGAACGTTCTAAACCGTAGCGTGAAAGATGCCCCCTCACCACGTCCCCCAGAGATAAACTCGGTTCATAGATTGAAGGGGGCTCTTCCATATATTTTTCAATGCTAGAGCTAAGATCCAAACACGGGATCGTCATATTTTGGGGGTTCTCCCTTCCCGGTATAAGTTAGACGCATTCTCGTGTTAGTGGGTAGAAATCCAGCTTGACTTTCCACAGTTCTTTGGGCTAATATGTTAGAACGCAGACAATAAGAGATTTGAGCCCAGATTTGGAAAAGTGTCACCAACCCGAATCTTTCCCATAAGGGTGTTGTGTCTATACTGACCACCTTTGGACAGAAATGAAATCTCACTCATTTAAAGATCATGTCTATCCTGAGGTCCTCCTTCCCCCTTAAAGCCACGTGGAAAGCTAAAAGAAAAGAATCTTGGAAGGGAACATTTATACTTAAGGATTTAGGTCTAGGAAAAGGATGTTGAAACAGACTGTGCAGTCTTTCAACTTCGTCCTTCCAATCTAAAACTTTTTACCATCCTTTTGTAATTCCCTCTTAGATGATCTTTGTAATTCCGCTCGAAATGCTTCTCTTTCTGTCTCTTCTAGGACCTTGCTTAAATAATTTCCGTTCTCTGCAGTCCTCTGTGCCATGTGGTCCTCAACACATTGATTAACTGTCTTTGGAGTTAAACTGCCTGATTTTTGATTTCTGTTCTATTTTCATACTATTTGTGTAACCTGGGAAAGCCATTCGGCCTGTTTTGTGACACATTTTCTCCTAATTCTGCAATCTGTCTACTTTTTTCCTCTTCACAAATATTCATTGTTATTCGGTAGGCACTGACATTTATTATTATATGTTACTCACTGAAATCTGCACAACTGTCTCCATTTCCCTTCTGGGTTGGCATGCCACCCTTTTCTCTTCTCTCTACTTCCATGTATGATTATAGTCATAAATGGGGCTTCTTCCTCTACTGCCTACAACCTTATATTTCCTATATTGTACAGTTATTTCTATAAAAATTATGTAGATTCATCTTCACGAAGTTGGTCAGTCTCGCAGATATCTCAAATTCAAATACCCCCAAAATGATCACATCTCAAATTCAAATACCCCCAAAATGATCACTTTTTCCCTAAACCTACTATATTTTTTGTTTTGCGAAGTGGCCCCATTATTTTAAACCAGTATTCCTAGCCAGAAACTTGAGAGTCACTTAAAGACCCCCATCTCCCTCACTATTACATATTGAAAATTTTCCTTCAAAATATCTTGAATCCAACATATTCTCTTCATTCCCACTGTTTCTGCCTCTTTAACATATACTGGGTCTGCTTTACAATTTCATTTCCTGATTGAACCTTAGTAACCTTGTCTGAACTATAAAGCAAGTCTCCTAAAACCTCTTAGTTTTCTTCTCTTCGTTTATTCTTTACATTGCTACTAGTGATCTTTATAAAATGGAAATATGACTACTTCTGGGTATTTTAAAATTGGTATCTAAAAGTTTCTGTTATCAGTTTAAACACTTATAAAGAATAAAATTTCTGGCTAGAATATGAACATTGACATCTTAAAGTAAAAATGTTATATCACTGTCTTAATTGTATAATAGAATTAAATACTAAAGTGATTTGACAATCATATCTATTTTTAAAAAATATGAACAAACTTTAGGCATTCTGCAAAGTTACTTTTTCCTCTTGAGTTCATTTCCATTTTATTTCTCCCACAGAATTTATCCTGATATAATTTAATTGTATGCTTGAAAAGTTTTTACTGGTCTCCTTATGTGTCAAAAAATGTAATTAAATTGCTGTTTTCTGTGCTCATGGGATTCCAACTGCTAAAAATTTCTCTTGGACTGCATTGTCATCATAGTTGATAGCATGCAATTGATAGAAGCAATGTAAATAACAAATTTTGATAAATAGTTATTATTCTCATGTCCTTGTATACTCTTTGGGAAATCTGCATGTAATCTCAAGGCCCTAATTTGTACTTTGAGGAAATAATAGGGTTTTACAAATGAGTGTTGTGGGGCATTACAGGTTCATATTCATAGCACAATAAAGATCCAGAAGTAATTTAAGGTAGCTCAAAAAAAAAAAAAAAAAAAACAATGACGTGTATGTTGAAGGGAATTAAAGAAAAGGAGTAGATGGGAACTCCCCCCCACCCCTGCCCCGCCCCAAGTCACTCTAGACTATTCATCTATTTGGATATTAGTTGAAGGCAATGAGTCAAAATTAATTGTATAATAGAATTATAATGAATGCTTGTAAAAAATAAAATTTTCCAAATGTATTATCTTCAGTTCTATCTAATTGTTCAAGATTCCCTTTTTAATTTTTGTATTGCATTTATTAGACAATTTTTAAGTCCTACATCACATTTAGATTTATATATTCTAAGAACAAAGGCTTTTGTTTTTAAATTTATTCTGTCGGATATTTATGAGCTCAACATACATGATTATTGTATTCTTCTTTTAGTAGTCTTTAACAACCTATTTACAGTGATACCTCATTTTGAAATATTAAGGAAATGTCCCCAGGAATAATTGTTAAATCTGGATTAAATTTCTTTGCCTYCTTTCTACTAATTGTTTCAGACATTGCTGTGAAAATCTAGATTTGTCTGAGTTCCGTCAGGCTAAAATATCTTCTAAAACAGTACTTTTGATGAAAAGTAAGAATTGAAAGTAGCCTAAAATGTGAACTTGTTAATCAGACAGCTCTCAAGAAATTGTGAACTCATTGTTTCTTCAGATGCTTAATTAACAATTCATTTTCATTAATTATTTATTGGATGAATGTTTCTTTCACAAGTTGAGCATCCTTAATCCAAAAATCTGAACTCTGAAATGCACTAAAATTTGAATGTTTTTGCATAGAAATATGATCCTCAAGTAGTGTCAGGTTTCTGATTTTCAGATAAGGAGAGCCCAACTGGCAAAATCTATTCAAATATCCCCAAATCTGAAAAATCTCTGAAATCTGAAACATTCTTGGTCCCAAGCGTTTTAAAAAAGGGATACTCAACCTGTATGTATTTAAAAACACATATTGACATACATGTTAATATTATAAAAACAACAAGATAGCTTATTACTATTTAGGATTATGGTGTATATTAGATCTCTGACCCAGCAGAATAACTTTCCCTCTACCCTGAATTTCTTGCTCTCTTTGTTCTAAATATAATAAAAATTTACTCATCTTTCAAGATCTTCTCTAAAGGCTTTTCTAATCCTACTACTAGCCAGGGATAATTGAATATCTTCTAAGGGTAGATACATAATGCTTTCCTTTAAAATTACTGTTATATTCTTGAAGATATTATGACTTATTGCTGTTAATATTTTAGAATCCTAGAATTTCAAGCACTATAAGGAAAAAGGAAGTAAAATTACTTAGTGAATATGTTACTGACTATAATAGGCACACCAACACATTATTTCATTTAACTTTTTGAACACATGTATCTGTAGATATATAGATATGTGTTGGTTACTAGGTAACTTGAGAGTTTATAGTAATGTTGATTTGAAGGCTTCAAAAACAGTAAAATTTTTGTGGAAGGGAATTAGCTGTTTTAATGGTAATGCTTTTATGGTTGTCTCTGTTGGGAAAGGGTACAAGAACTTTYTAATGTACAAAGGGCAGTTGTTCCTTCTAATCTTAATGTACCATTAAAGTTGATAAGCCCAAAGCTATACCTCACCAGAAATTGGGAGTGCACTTTGACTTCTGAGGATATCTTAAAACTAAGTATTCTAGGGGACCAAACGTAGTGAATGGAGATATGTTAAATATATAAGGCTCTTTAAGAATAACATTTACCTCTGCATTTGTTGAAAGTGTAAAATGTGATGTTATTGAAGTTCTATAAGGAATTTTCTTATTTTAGGCTGGTCTTCACACTACCCTTTACAGTCCCTTCTAACTGGTTATCAATGCAGCTGTCATGATGAACACACTTCTTATGGAGAAACAGGGGTCCCAGTTCCTCCT